AGGAGCTATTCTCCCTGCAGGAAGAGTCGGCTTGCAGCCCTGCAATTGTTTCTGTTTCTGTGGTCCCTCAGGTTGGGGGCAGCCAGGTGTTGGAAGGTCTGGAAGGTTATTCTGCTTGAGAGAGTAGAGAGCAAGCCCTTTTATTCCCCTAATTAAACATCATTTGTTGTTGGGTGCACCAAGTCAACTTTAGATTTATAGTGATCCCATGTGACAGAGTAGAATTTCCTCATAGGACTTTCTAGGCTATACGATATCTTTACACAAATAATGCACACAAACCATGCAACCTCCTTGCATATTAGTTTCTTATGTGTGCTATGAGTGTTACATGTGAAATTGCTATAATCTTTATCGATAGATCTTTCTCCCACATAGCTGCTGGGTGGGTTTCAACTGCCATCCTTTAAGTTAGCAGCCAAGCACTTAAACATTATGCCAATAGATTTTTTGCCCAATCCCAGGACCAAGGACACTGTATGCTTTCTAGTGTCCCTCCTAGAACTCTTTAAGTGCACACAGACTGTCTGTCCAAAGAAGAAATACAAGGACCTCACTCAAAAATTCAAACGTGTAGTAAGATACTGATTGCTATACATCATTTTAACACAAATTTATTGAAATTTCCTTTTGAGCAAGATTCCTATCTTAAAGTTGGAAAAAAAAACTCTTATTTTCAGCAAGGACAGAATAGAAGCAAGGATCTTGGGGAAAAGTTGCCCAGGCCTGTGCCAGACAATGTGACTTAAGGATAAACTTAAGGTTTAATCAGAATCCTAAAAATTCTAAATTCATCCTTTGAATTCCTTTGTGTTTTCTGTTTCTTTTTTCTTAGTTCTTTAAAAATTCCAGTCTTATCTTAACTGAACCAAGAGCAGAGTATGTTTTTGTTTCTTGTTTTCCATATCTCCATCTGGAATAGGCAATGAAGAAAAAGGGCTGTAGGACTGGAAGTCACCCACTCCTTGAGTGGCCTCAAATGACCCCAGGCACCTTTCCAGCACTCAGAGAGGGGAGAAGGGATGTTGGTGGTTCTTCTAGCTGGCACATGCTGACTGAGGTATTTTAGATAACTGGGAATACCTTCTTCCTTGGGGTGGAATAGCAGTGACAAGATTAGCTCTGGAAAGTAGGAGGAACTGAGCATGGACTGTGGGCACCAGACGGAATAGAAACCCAACCCAACCCATTGCCATCAAGTAGATTCTAACCATAGTGACCCTTTATGGCAGAGTAGAGCTGCCTTATAGGGTTTCCAAGGCTGTACATCTTTACAGAAATGGACTGCACCTCATCTTTATCCCACAGAGCTACTGGTGGGTTCAAACCATCAACCTTTATAATTATTACTTCCCCACCAGAGCTCCTAGGGGCTATAGAAACCACCAAAGCAAACCAAACTCACTGCCGTGGAGTCAGATCCAACTCATAGCAACCCCTCCTTGGGTTTCCAATGTGGTATCACTACAGAAGTAGATTGCCCAGTCTTCCTTCCGAGGAATGGCTGGTGGGTTTGAACCGCCAGCTTTCTGGTTAACAGTCAAATGCCTTAAGCACTACACCACCAGAGCTCCTAGGGCTATAGAAGTGGTTCTTAATCCTTAGTTGCTCATTAGTATCACCTGGGACGCTTTTACACCCAGGCTGTGTAAAGCTCTGACACCCAGGTGGTGCCCCAACCCATTTAAATCAGAAACCTCTGGTAGTGGGACCCAAGCATCCGCATTTTTTAAAGTTCCCTGGGCGATTCCAATGTGTAGCCATGGTTGAGAACTACTGCAGTATATGGGATAGGAGCCAACCCCAGACAGGGGCTCCTTTCCAGAACAACTATGACCTCACCCTATAAATAAATTTTACGCTTTTGAATTTAGTGTTCTGATTTTAGTAATTTTTTCCTTGAATTTTCACTTGGCATTCTTTTCTTGTTATAGACATCTCATTGAGTCAATGATTCTTCTCTGTGTCACCATGCCCATCATAGAAAGCCTTTCCTTCCTTTGTTTCCAGGGCCCTGCAGTCTTCTGCTTCTCTTCCTGCTTACCTGACCACTCCTCAGTATTCTTTGCTGGCACCTCTTCTTCTGTCCACACTTAACTGAAGGAGTCCCCCAGTTCTGCTTTGATCCTCTTTCCTTTTCAATGTGACCTCCTTTTCTCTGGTGATAGCTTCTATTCTCCCAGTGTTAACCATCTGCTTGTGAGTAACTCCTTGACCTGTACCTGTGACCTTTGTCTCCTGCTGAGCTCCAGATCATCATTGTCACCTGCCTGGAGAAGTTCCAGAGCTCCTTCACCTCTTTTCCTCCCATGCATCCATCCATCCAACCACCCAATCATTAACACAACTGTGTACCATGAATAGAGCTCTTGTAATGTAGTGCTTAAGACATTTGGTTGCTAACCAAAAGGCCGGTGGTTTGAATCCACCAGCTGCTCCATGGAATAAAAATGAGGCAGTCTGCTTCCATAAAGATTTACAGCCTTGGAAACCCAATGGGGGTCAAGATGAGTCAGAATCAACTCAGTGGCAGTGAATTTGGTTTTGGTTAGGTGTTCTGTAAAGATAGACAAGACCCTGCCCTGGCAGAGTCTCCACCAATTTGGAAATGCAGAGACATCAACAATTAAATTCAATACAGTGAGTGAAGTACAGGCATTAATTACAGTGGCACCAAGGGAGCAGAGGATAATGATCAACTCTGTGGGTCAGCAGAAGAGTAGGTGGGCAAGAAAGGCTTCTCCAGAGAGGAGAAGATACTAGGTTAGATTTCAGAAGATTAGAAGGTCACTAGAACACTGGTGGGCATAAGAGAGTGTAGTGTACAGGGAATTTCAGAAATTCCATTTAGTTGGAGCAAAGAATTGAATTGAGGGGAAGGGGGACAGGGACAGAGTGATATTGAGAGAAGAAATAGGAAAGAGAGACAGTGATCTGTCAGAAGGTGTCCCATGCCAGGCTGAGCAGTGTGCACTTTGCCCACAGCTTATAAAGTATTAAGTGATAAGATCATGTGTTAGTGTTTAGCAAAGTTCTTTGACTATAACCACGTGGAGGACAGATTGGAGGCTTCCCGATGGACATTTAGAAGGTAGCAACATAATACTTCTGAATTCTCCTCCATGGTTAATATTGCCAGTCTGCTTGTCCGGATTGAGCAGGCTTTAACTCTATCTGCCAAGGCCTTGGGCCAATACACCAGCAAGTCAGGGACAACGCTGATTCCTTCCCATTGGCTGGCTGGTTAGTTGGCGGGTGGTTGATTTGCATCAGGTTTTTTGCATCTATTTCTATGCCTCAGCTCAGTCCAAACTTTTCTGACTTATTTCATCCTGTACAATGTGGTTGGAGTTAACTTCCAATGAAACACAAATGTAATTGTTATTCCCTTTGGGAAAAATTTATTCTACATTGCGTTCAGAATAATCTAAACTTTTTATCCTTGATTTTAAAACTTCTACATTTTGGTGCCTGGACTACTTTTCCACCTTCCACTTCTACCTCTCTCTTTTCCTGGCCTTTCAATTTATCTCTCAACTCACCCTTATGGGAACAAGCCCTTTATAATTCCCACCTCCATATCTTTGCTCATGCAGTTTCCTCCACTGGAAATGACCTTCTCTATCAAAATCAACTCATCTTCCATTTCTCTTCTACTTGGAGTGCATCCAAATGTAGTAGTTAAGAGTATGGTTTCTTGAGCCCAACTTCCTGCTTTTGAATCCAGGCTTTGCCACTTACTGGTTTGGGCAATTTCTTTAGACTTTGTGCTTCATTTTTTTTTTTTTCTGTAATATTAAGAAAATTAGTAGTCATTTCATAGGGTGGTTATTAACAATTACAACACATTTAGAATAGTACTTAACATAGTAAGTCATTGATAAGTGTTCACTATTATCATTGTTGTTGTTTCCATCCCCAACACACACTACTTTTCCTTTGGTTTACCCTCCACTTATTGGCCTGATAGTGTATTTGTGAATGTGTCTGGCTTTCCCACTATATTGACACCACCTAGAAATCAGAAAGAGTCCCTGGATGATCACTCGCTCATTGCTGTCGAGTCAGCAACCCCTCCTTCGGTGTCTGAGGTGGTATCACTACAGAAGTAGATTGTCCTATCTTCCTTGCGAGGAGTGGCTGGTGGGTTTGAACCACCAGCCTTCTGGTTAGCAGTCAAATGCCTTAGGCACTGTGCCACCAGAGCTCCTGGCCTGATAGTGTATTTGCGAATGTGTCTAGCTTCCCCACTATATTGACACTGCCTAGAAATCAGAAAGAGTCCCTGGGTGATGCCAACAGTCAGTGTGCTCTGCTGTTAACAGAAAGGTTGGCAGTATGAGCCTACTCACAGGCACCTAGGAAGAAAGGCCCTGGTGATCTACTTCAGAAAAACCACCCATTGAAAACCCTATGGAACACAGTTGTACTCTGACCCACTGGGGTCCCCATGAGTTAGAGTCCACTCAACAGCAACTGGTTATAGCCAGCCATTAGATCTGATGCTAAATATCTCCCCGCAGTATATGTGGTGCAAGGCTTCAAATATAGTAAACACTCACCTGGTATTTATTAAGCTGTAAAAACTTGGAAGATGAACCAGATTCAGAGCTGACACCAAGACCAGAAAGTGTGAGGCTGGTTGCCCTGAGGTCAGATCTTACTCTGCTCCTACAAACTGCAAGCAGCACCCTGGAGAAGCACCTGTCTCTCTTAGATGTATCCCTAGTAGTGTGCCTCGTTGCATTATCTAGCTCCAGCAACTGAAGCAGAGAACCTGTAGGCACCTTCCTTTGCACCTCTTCATGCCTTTAGAACACAGCTGGGAGGTGATCAGCCCATTAAAAGAACAATATTGGAGTTACTTGCCTCCTTCAGCCAGACAACCTGAGGTGAAAAGGTATTTCGGTTAATTACAGGGCTTTCCCAGCATTTTTTCTTTCAAGGTCTTGTGTGTGAAGTGCGTTGGACGCACACGTTAACTCTACATGTGTTTTTAGAAATTAGAAGAAGGGGTTCCAAAGACCCCCTGGTGAAGGCGCTTCAGCTGCTTGACAACCCCTGTGAGCCTGGTGAGAACGGCCTGAAATCGGAGACGCTGGCCCGAAGACTGAGCTCCAAGGACCTCCTGGGGAAGCCGCCTCAGTTGTATGACACTCCCTATGAGCCAGCGGAAGGAGGCCCGCGGGCAGAGGCGCCGGCCAGCGCGGGCCCAGAGCGGAAGGCGCGGCCTGGGGACGGCCGGCTGCCCGAGAACGACGAGCGGCCAGCGGCCGAGTACGAGCAGCCGTGGGAGTGGAAGAAGGAGCAGATCGTACGCGCACTGTCAGGTGAGGGGCCGGCGCTGGTGCCCCGGCTGGCAGTCTAGGCTGAAGTTGAAAACCTCCCTCTCCTTTGGCGTTTCAGCATTTTCTTTCTGCTGCTCGCTTCAGTTATCTTTTCCCCCAAAGGCTTTGATGTCGAAAAATAAGAATTGGGCTCTAGTTGGAAGACCAGGTTGAGCTTTTAATACTGCATTTATTTTTTAATCCTTCTGGATACCTTTGTTTTCCTATTTGCAGTGCAAAGACCAGAAAGTGGGAGACTGGTTGCCCTGAGGTCAGATCTTACTTCGCTTCTTACAGACTGCAAGTGGCACCCTTGCAAGTGGCAAAATTTTATAAATTACTTAAAAGGCTTTCTTTGTTTTAAGCTTATCTGATCACTGTACATTTATTTTGCCCTGCTGAAACTATCAAACTGGGAGCAGCCTTTTCTAACTCTACCTTGATGCTACTTCTCAAATCTGTTTAAAACCTCTGTGAAATGGTAATGTTGGATAAAATGGATTACAGGTAGAGGTAGTTGGTAAGCTGAATGGAGCTAGCTTTTTAAATTTAGCATTTTTATCAAAAATCCACCCAAAGGAATCAGTTATTCAAGTAAGAAGTTGAAAATAACTTCAGAGATGCATGGAGGGATGGACACTGGGAAGAGGTAACTATGGGGAGGAAGTGGGAGGGGAGCTGTTGCATTGTGGTAAGCTGTGGTCAATGACATGAGACAAAGTATATGTGAACTGCTGTATGGAAAGTGAATTTGC